CAACAAGTACTATGAATTAATGAGCCCCATTTATTGTAATAGTTGGTCCCCATACATCACTTTGAGTGCAATCAAATGGAGTTTGGTTCCAAGTAGATGACTTATGAAAATAAAATTGATTGTGTTTAATAAATTGACATGCATCACAAATCATTGTACGACAATCCAGCCTGTGAAATATAAATGAAATATAGTTTGCAACAATTCAAATAAAAAGATATCTCAATTGACAATGTAAGAGCATGATTTAAGGTGTCTTTGTAGAACTCTCCTGAACTTCCTACAACATCGACTCTATAGATATTAGTGATGCCCCATTTTCTTCCAAGTAGAGTAGTCCATCCTTTTCTTTAACAAGTCCAATCTTTTGGCTTGAGACCTTATAAAAAATAAAACACACATGACAATCAATTATATTTTGTAATATGTATTATAAATTAACTTATGTGGAGAAATCAATTGAGCCTTAAGATTAGGCACCTATAAAGCCCCTTTTAATATTCTCAAGTTTAATGCTTGGAGGTCTTTTATTCTAGCAAGGTTCAATGATCCATCTCTTGTAGTAAAAACTTTTCAAGAGTAAGGGCATGCTATATGTAATAAATTTGGATGAACTTGGAATCATATGATCCATTGCTCCTATGTCAAGAATTCACATCTCACTATGAGACTAATCATGAGTGTATAGCCTAAATGAAAAAAAAAATCACAGGTGATTTTGCTAGATGAGTAGAGTTGAGTGTGACCTTCAACAACTTCATCTCTTTATGAATCCTCACAAGCTCATCACAAGTATTTGAATTTCTAATTTAAATTTATTACCAAATCTGCTTACCTTGGTTTTAGAGGTTTGTCATATAACTTTCAACAATACTTTTTTGTATGACCCTTCTTTTTATAATAGTTGTAAAATAGTGATTCTCAATAATTAGTTTTCTAAGAATGATGTTGGTAACTCTAATGATTGTCCTATTGTTCACCACTATTTTTCTCAATTAGGGTAATATTTGGAGCATTCTTATGCTTATATAAAGGTTGTATTGATCTCTTTGGGCTCATTCAAAATGAAGGTTTTCTTTTTTACTATAATTTGAATTATCTCATCCAAGTTTATAACCTTTTCTTAACATAAGATTTGACCCCTTAGATTCTCATACTAAGTTTAGGCCCATATTTGTACAATCAGTCCTTTTATATAGATGATTACTCTTCAAAGTCTAGACTCTTGGTCGAACTATAGTAGTCAATCTAATACAAGATAGCTTGTAACTCACATGCATATTTGAGGACAGATCTCTCCTTGTGAACAAGATTCATTGCCTTCCTCACAAGGCTATAAAGCCTCCAATCATTATGTCTTTTGGAACAACTCTTATGTACACAACTCATAATTCATTAATTGACCACATAAATAGAAAATGTTCGTAACCTTTAATCTCATGATGTTGAGTAACCATGTGTGAACAACATCTTCTGATTTCCAAATTAGGTGTCGTGAGTTAGAGGACTTGATTAAAGGTTCTGTAAGGTAACCTAGAAGTATCATTTCAATAAATTAGTTCCAATAATAGAAGTTTTTCCCATCAAATTGTACTTTTTCTTGTATACTTTAGAGAGTTTAATAGGATTTATCTCTCTCACCTATTGAAATTGACATACTTATAGATGTGCTTGTGGATTTTTTCATAGAGAACATGTTGAGTTATTGCAATGATTGAGATATACTTCTTTAAGAAATATGAAATACTACAAGACAACAATAATTTTACAAATATAAATTTGAATATATTGAAGTTACTGAGTTTACTTCCACCAATCACTCAATCTTGAAAAGGGGAGTAGTAACTCATGGCTTTGATATCATGTCAAATAATTTGATCGAGTCCTAGGTACGGTGCCTTTGTTGTTATGAGAATAGAGCAAGGTTTCTAGGAAAAAGTATCACTTTATCTCATGTTATGATATACAAGTACAAAAGTTCATAGTCATAAGCCCATAATCATCGAATGGATTCATATCGAATCTCATAAGGCATAACCAAAACAAAAGAGAGTAAAAAACAAAACAAAAGAAAGAGGAGGTTTGATGAATGTAACAATATCTTTGTTTCTCGACAAAATATATTATATGATTATTATAGGAAATAGATATAATAACATGTAAATCAACAAATTTGTTGATAGACCCAAACCTCAAGCTTGGTGGAGTTGAAGAAGATATATGTATAGAGCGAGAGATGTATTAACAATTAACAAGAAAACTGATTTACTTGTCCCATACATGTCTTGAGATAAGTTATGTAGTTAGCATAAGTAAGCAATTTATGCATAATCTAAAATAAACACCTTTCATGTAACTCTTTGAGTATTATACTATTGTAAAGAGACATAGAAAATCATCTTCTTCAAGAAAAACAAAGGATCAACACTTGAAGTATATACTTACGTAGATTATTTATAATTTATTGTAGATAAAATATCAGCTTCTTGGTATTACACTTTTATTGTAAAAATATTATTATATGGAGTAGTAAGAAACAAAATATTGTGGCAAGATCAAGTGTAAAACTAAAACTTTGAGCAATGACATAAGATATATGTGAGATATTTAGATGAATGTAATCTTATAAGACATGGAGATTAAGAGGGATGGCCTAATGATACTTTATTATGATAATAAATTAATTATTAGGCTTCCATTCCATTCAATTCAATTTAACAAGACAAGGTTAAACACAATGAGATTGATTGACATTTCGTAAAGGAAAAATTAAGAGTGGTTGAGTTGTGCTTCATATATGTTTACAAGTGATCATATTATAAATGTATTTACTAGAAGTTTTCATATCAATGTCTTTCATTATACTAGCTAAGGCCCCTAAATGATCACTCAGTGATAAAAGAGGTAGGGGTGCAGAGACAATCAAGAGTTTTGCCTAGAAGCAGCCACCCTTGAAAGAGTGTGTAATGGTCTCCAAGTTAGAAATAGACCATATACATTCAATAGTTTGAGGGGGAGTGTCAAAATCTGATTTTTTTAGTTTTATCTATATAAATTTTTCCCTTTGATTGTTTTAGATTTCTTATTATAAATGGAACCAAACCAATGTGAACTAGCCTAATTCTCTCTTTCTCTCTCTAGTATCAACAAACTAGTATAAATACCAATTGATGTAAAAAAATGAGTCAGAATGATATTAAACATCTAGGGCTTCAACTAACTACTTTTCACTCTCTCTCTAATTCTTTCTTATGTCATTGATGGAGATGATCAAACAAAGAAGTTAGGACACACGAAAAGAGGTCAAGGGATTAGAAAAAAATGATAATAATTATCATGTCTTATACAACATTGATTAAGTTGTTTCTATTAGAATATATTAAAAATATTATACATGAGACTATTATATGCATCAATTAAATTTTTGGCATTACTACTTGTTGGTGATGTACTTTAAAATTATTGAAGATCTATATATTTTGGGTTATGTTGATGGTTATTGTCCATTTTCTTGGACAACTTTGGAGATTTTTTAATATTTACACATGAAACTATAACATTAGATGAACATAAGTATAAATAAACATGAGGAGATGAGGGAGAAAACTCCTAAACACCATTATTCCATATTCTTCTGAAGCAAACAATTGTCCAACGATTGTCTACAAAAACCCTCCAATAACTAGGTCAACATCAGCCAACAAGGAGCACATTTTTTATCCAGTGGTTGAAGAGAGAAAACCATAATGGGGGGTTAGAACTAAAAATAGCTGCTACTTCTGAGCTAAGATCAATTTTTTATGTGGAAAAAGTATCTCCTTTTGATCATTCCAACTCATTTAAATTAATCATTATATATTTGTGTTAGCCACATTTGTCATTGACCTTTTATTTCCATTGGCATTGGTTTGAATGATAATGACTATATCCATTAGTAAAAAGCCATATATTCATTGAAATTTTACTAAATTATATTTTTTCAATTCAAAAAATCTTATTTCAACCATTACAATGAGGCTAAAAGTACTCATCAACTCATACCCAACCAAAATCAACGAGGTTAACGCTTACTATAATGGGACAAGCACTTATTAATAGTTGATACTCATCCTCGAGATTGCTCTCTCATGTGGGAAGTATACAATTATAGTGCCAATAGCTTTACAACACTCAAGAGTGTTAATTTGATTGAAGTTTTGTCACCTACAAATATTTTAATCTTTTTTCATCCATCTATGGCTTTCTGAAAAATGACGGCTGACAATTTCTAATTCACCAAATTCTATTGGCTTTATGTACCGATGGCCAATCAAATTGAACACAGATGTTCTACATTGGGCTACAATGATTTTATAAATAGTCAATATTGGGAAATTTTATAAATTTATTATTAGTTCATGACATTAAATTTAAACATAATTGGGAATATTTGAGTTTTTTTGGAATTTATGTGGTAGAGCTAATGCTAATCAAACTTAGTGCAGATGTTCTATGTATGGGTGCAATAATTTGGATTGCAATAAATATCCAATATTGGAAAATTTTTCTCCTTTTTTATCAAATTAACTTTGAAAATGGTGAGGAATATTTGCATTTTACTTGGACTTTATGTTCCCAAGTCAAAGTCCGGTAATCTCTCCAATATGCTTTACCCAGCTGCTATGCCCCAAAGACAGATCTGTGACCGTTAGATCGATCTCAGAAAGTGTGGGCCGTTAATAAAGTGGACTTGGTTCCTGTGGGCCGGCCCAGGCTCGAGCTATTGACCGGCGAAAGCCCCCCTCTGTTGATATCCCACTCTCTTTGGCTAGCTTTCAGAGGCGGCGAGAACTCGGCCGGCGGCGGCGGCACCACCGCGCTGGAATGGGGCGGCGCCGCCGTCTTCCCTCGAGCTCCGGCGTCATATCTCGCTCCTCAGCTCATCTCCTCTGATGAAGCCGGCGTGTCCGGCGAGGGAGGCAATGGCGCGATGCTGATGCCGCCGGCGTGTCCGACGAGGAATGACGTGCCGGCTCTCAACCCGCCTGATGAACATCTGCGTCGCGTCCCTGTGCAGGGCCCGGCGCCTGGGCATGGCGGAGCTGGTGGTGATCGACGGGATTCGGATGGGATGCATCCCCGACGTGGTGACCTACAACACGCTGGTATCTGCTTACTGCCGTCTCGTCGGCGTCGACGAGGCTTACTTGGTCGTTCACAGGATGAGGGAGATGGGACTGAAGCCGGACGTGGTCACCTACAATTCCCTGATAACCGGGGCGGCGAGGTGGCGCCGGCTGTCCTGTTCACTCGATCTCTTCGAGGAGATGCACCAGGCCGGTCTACAGCCAGATTCGTGGACCTACAACAATCTACTGCATTGCTTGTTCAAGTCCGGCTACCCTGATCTTGCTTTTAGGGTTCTGACTGCGATGGAGTCTGCGAATCTCGCGCCTTCCTCGACGACGTACAATATACTGATCAATGGCCTCTGCAAATCCGGGAATGCGGGCAGTGCTCTGGCGCTGTTCCGGTATTTGCAAAGGGTGGGAAGCCCTAGAGGTCTTGTGACGTATAATACTCTTATCGACGGGCTCTGCAAATGTGGCAGGGTGGGTGAAGCTAGAACGCTCTTCAGAGAACTTGCAGGCTCTGGATTCATCCCTAATGCAGTGACCTACACGACGATGATGAAGAGCTATTTCAGGTCTGGCAGATTTGAGGAGGGATTGAGCATGCTGGATGAGATTCGGAGGGAGGGCTCTCGATTTGATGCTTTCGCCTACTGTACAGTTATCAGTGCACTGATCAAGATGGGCAAGATGGAAGAAGCTTCCGATTTCTTGGAGGAGATGCATGGACAATGCGGCACACTGGACACAGTCTGCTACAACACTCACATCAATCTGTGCTTCAAGCAGGGAAAGGTAGATGATGCACTTGATTTGCTGAACAAGGTGGATGAGATCGATGACTACACAGTTTCTATCTTGGTCGATGGGCTGTGCAAGAATAATCGGCTCCCCGATGCCTACCATCTCCTGAAATACATGGCGACAATGGGCTCTCAGTCTAACCTGGTGCCCTATAATTGCTTCATCCAAGCTCTCTGCAAGCAGGGCAAGGTGGAGTCTGTAGATTTTGCAATGACCCTGTTCAATAAGTTGGAGATAAAGGATTCTTTCACCTACACATCATTGCTGCGCGGCCTTTCCAAAATGGGAAGGTTTCTTGAAGCATTCACAGTAATGGTGTCTGCCCTGAGGCAGGGTGTTTGTCTACCCCGCTCTGTCCGACGGGTAGTTCTTGCAGGGCTCCGTTCTTTGAGATATAAAGTGCACGCAAGGAAGCTCAGATCGGAGATTGTGAAGGCCAAATTTCGTTTGCCTGACTGATTTATGCAGAGTGGTGCAAACTGAATACTAGGGAGAGCCTCTCAGAAACAGAAACTAGCTATCAGCTCCTGTTTCTGTCTCACTCTCTGATGATGTGGTGATCACAGCCAACGCTTCATTCTTTGTAGAGAATGGCGGCCGCAGGGCCGTGCAGAGAAGACAGAGAAAATGGGGGTTCCTTGGTCAGAACACTGATTGCAGCTTTACAGATCCCCTGCAATTGAATATAATGGTAATTTTAAGCGTTCTCACTGTACAGTTTTAGATTATTTATTTTCTCTGTGCCAATCTATCCGGAAATAAGCATTATTTTATCTTGGATTATGATAATGGAGGCAGCTACCTGGTTGACTTCAAGAAACCTTGCATCTGAACCTGTTAACTTTTTTTTTCTTTGTTAATTGACCTCATTATGTCTGATCATGAGTCAATGAACTCCAAAAAGATGCAAAATTCGAACTGATTTACTGCCATGAAAAGGTGGACATTCTTCCATTTTTACTCCAATCCACGTTTTCTATTCTTGGAATCGGAGAAGTATTTTTCTTTAATGTCATCCACTTATTCAACAAGATTGCTGCCAGAATCAGTGGTTACTTGCTTTGTTTGCAGTTCACTCCTATTCAGCAAGTCCTTGACCTGGTTACCATACACCATATTCATGGCCAGATAGATAGTTGGGTAATCATCCAAGTGCTATCATTACCTTCTTCTTCTTATGGATCACACCATTGCCTGGGCTTCAATCATGCAGTTCAGGATATCCTTCCATCTTGGGCAGCATTCTCCAAGTCCGCTGCATCCTCTCGCCCTTGACAATGGTTCTCCTATGTGAGTTTCTTCCAAGTTCTGTATTTGAAAGGCTGATTTGTCTGTACTTCTAGGATAATAATGCAGTAATGGTGACCAAGCGGTTGTTCCCCTTGAAGGAGGAAGATGAAAGGGACGCTTTGCTTAGGTCTTTTTATGTGTTTTTTTTTTTTAACAGTAACCTGTGTATCTCATGCACGTATGTATGTATGTATGTGTGTATGTATGTATGTATGTACGTGTGTGTGTATCTATGTATGTACGTATGTATGTGTGTATGCTTGTATGTATGTATGTATGTATGTATGGATGGATGTATGTTATGGCATCACCGTGATGACAACTGGGGTTGAGATGTATCAAGTTTGAAATATACCAGCCCTAGAGCCTTAGGAACTGCCAAAAGCAGATCTCAAATGTGTTCACATATTTCGAAGTATGGGTGAAGCCAAAAACTTAGTTGACTTATCCCACATTTTTTGGCTGAGGCAAAGTTTCTTTCTTAGATTGTCGCCATTGGATTTCTGTTTGATCGATGATTTATGATCTATTCATGTCTGAAAGTTCAGTATCCATTTGATTACTTATTCTATCCTTACAAAAATAAAATAAAATAAAATTGGCTTATGAACTTTGTATTAATTAGACTCTCCTTGGGTTTTTAGCCCAAAGTAAGCGGGCCTACACAAATCAGCCAGCCTGCACTAGGCAGAGTAGACTTTGGTAACCAGCATACAGACACCAAATGATATACTAATTGATGCCGAATCTACTTTAAAACCTTGATTTTTATGCGACAATAATCTGCATGTGCATCTGATTCATGGGGGAGCATTTAGTGCTGGGTATGGTGAGAACTGTATGTTTCATCCCTCCAGTAATGTGTGGCCGTTCAAGCTTGCTGGGTCTCCTTCTCTGCTGTGATCCACCACCTAGTTTTTAGAGATTTTTTTTTTTTTTTCTGTTCATGAGAATGAAATCCTTTTCTTACCTATTCCTTTGCTCTGTGCATTGCTGGTGGCTCAGTGGGTTAAATTAAAAGTTCATCTATGGAGTAATTGGCTGGCCATCCTCAGAATGAAAGCATTCAGAGACATGTCTCTTAGATCAACATAGACTTCAGGGAGCTCAGCTGGCGAAAATGGCGCACAGGTCTGATCATTGCCGGCAGCATCGGATTTTCCAAGTCTTACATAGGGTGTTTACTCGGGAACTTTGGTCTATTTCTCATTCATTTCTTTAATAATCCAGGTTACTTCTGACTTCAGGCATGGAATCAGAGATGATTAAATCGGGTAATTCTTGTTTCGTCCACCCTTTTTTGCTCAGATTATTGTAATCGTGATGTGGATAATATGGAAATAAAAAATAAAAAATAAAAAAATACAGTTCCACATTTATCAGGAAATTTTCAGAGTCTTTACTCAGGGGTGGGTTGCCATTGAGCTTCTGAGGCAGAATTAGACTCGTGGATTGTCTTGTGTCCATGTCTTTACTTTCAGAAAATCAGACAGCATGCATGAAAGCTAAGTTGGGTTTCAAATGCTTGGAAGGACCAAGATTTCATACTTATTGTAAAAAATAATGAAAATCCTTTGAAGGAAAGAAAAGTTGTGAAAAACTGAGCCATCTCTGTGATCTAATCATCTGACTTGGATCATAGATATGAACAGATTTTCTCTTTCAGATTAATATTTATTGTGAAAATAATGAAAATCCTTTGAAGGAAAAAAAAAAGTGGAAAATCATAATTTCTCAAGTCCATAGTTTTGATCCTGTAGAATCTGACCCATTTTCTCATCGAGCAAAGGGTACGAAATAAATCAGATTGATTTTTCGATCGAAAGTAATATGTGAAATCTTCGGTTTTTTTTCCTTCTCTGTGATTGAATGGCCTGACTTGGATCATAGGTATGAATAGCTTTTCTCTTTCAGATTCATATTGATTGTGAAAATAATGAAAATTCATTGAAGGAAAAAAAATTGTGAAAAACTTACCCATCTAGGTGATCGAATCACCTGACTTGAATCATAGGTATCAACAGCTCCTCTTTCACCCTGAACTTGAAAACATAGAGGATGACACGCCATGCATTTTAATTTCCAGACATTCAACAGTGTAAAAAATAATAATTAATGTTGAGTAATGTATTTTTTAAATGGAAAGTATGAATATGCTAGTGAAATGACACGACAAACTTCAATCTGATACAGTATGCACATAAACAGACATGTAACATGTTCATCGATCATGAAACTAAATAACTGCAAATTACTATCAAGTCAGAAATGGGCCAAAAAAAAATCTGATTGCAATTTACATGGTTAGGATTTGGTCTTAGTTTGGTGATTATTACGATCATTTTTATAATCTTTGACCAAATGAAGCGGAATTGGATCAGCAGCCGTGACCATGCTCAACCCATGCAAGTGTTTCAGTTTCTTTGAAAGATATTATCTGCAAACAATCTCAAAGAAGAAGAAAAAGAAAAAGAAAAAAAGAAAAGTCGCCATAGAAAAAAAAAGTTCCCAGTTGATAATCTTCAGTGGGTACTTGAATCAGAATTTCAGACAGTTCAGGAGGGTATCCCAGAAAAGGAAACTCTTTCACCACATCTGCGTTGACTTCCCCCACTGGTTTAACTGGACGAAGGCCACCTCACAGTTTTGACATGAGACTGAGTCAACCCCACTTGGACAGCCATTTTAGTGCTGAAAATAGAAGGAATCACATGAAATTAAATACAGTCCTCCATCATAACTTTCCAGGAACCAAGAGCATGCAGAGAAACAGGAAATTCTTCTTCTACTGCAAAACAAATAGTAGGCAACACTGAGCAAACATCTTGGAACCACTTGAATTTGCACATTATACTGCAGATTCATTCCCCAGACATCCACCGTATTTTTTGCTTCAGATCACTTTCCATTGCACTTGAACCAACAATAGCCCCCGAGAATGGCCTCATTATCTGGTTGACCATAGCCTGTGAACCCATAATTGGAATTCGTGCCGGGCTCCCCATTGACGTCAAGCAACTATCAATGGAGCCTTCGGTGATCTGGGCTACCCCCCTCCCCGTTGACCTATTCTCAATGAATCCTGCCACAGCATCAAAAAGAGAGGTGGGTTTGAGGGGCTCCTGCAGGAGGCGCAGCTGCTCGTTGGGCACTCCTATGGTGGGCCCGCAATGATTCTGCCTGACAGCCTCCTGTGGTCGAATCCCTTGTGGCCCTGATTCTGTGATGGTGCTCCAGGCCTTCTCGAATATTGATTGGAGATATTTTCCATGGGCCTCTATCCTGAGCTCAAGATGATGTTCAACCTGGAAGGAAAAAAATTACTGGTACTTAGAATCTACGACGACGATGATGATGATGATGATGATGATGATGAGGACAATGATGATGACGATGATTATGATGATGATGATTATGATGATGACGATGATGATGATGATGATGAGGACAATGATGATGACGATGATGATGATTATGATGATAACGATGACGATGATGATGATGATGATGATGATGATGAGGACAATGATGATGACGATGATGATGATTATGATGATGACGATGACGATGATGATGATGATGATGATGATGATTATGATGATGACGATGACGATGATGATGATGATGATGATGATGATGATGATGATGATGATGAGGAGGAGGACAATGATGATGACGATGATGATGATGATGTGGACAATGATGGTGACGATGATGATAATGATGAGGACAATGATGATGACGATGATGATGTGGACAACAATGGTGACGATGATGATGATTATGATAATGACAATGATGACAACGATGACACTGATGATGACACTGATGATGACGATGATGATGATGATGACGACGACAACAATGACAATGATGATGATAATGATGATCTGGAGTAACCTTGTGTCGGTTGGTGTAAAGAGAAACTTGTGATATGAAAAAGACAAACCTACTCTGATCGCCACCAACTAGTTTTTGAGTTTGGATGGACTAATAACACCAGGCAGAGCCGATTATTGCACGTGCCCTGAACGTGCTTTGTCTGAATGGTCCTGTATTAGTTATTTTAGTGGAAAGGAACCCATGATTACTGCAACTGCTTTTGAGGTGGATGGCCCAATAATTTTAACAAACAAGATTAATAGTTAATGATTTTTTCTGGGATTTCAGAGAAATTTCATGTCGCATGATATTTGAAATATGGGGTTGAAAAGTTGTCACTACGTGTGGGTAATTCTAACGAAGTGATATTTAGACGATTTTTTGAAAAAAACCCTTAATAACGGTAGGCACATGTAGATTTCATAGCAATGGAGCGAGCAACTGACCTGAAGATGCTCATGAAGCCTTCTTTGAAGCTCCATTTGACTTCTCATCACATCATTATATTCACTGCATTGAAGAAAATACAAAAATATGGAAAAAAAAATGCACATTGAGCAATAATTAATAAACCGAATAACAACTCTAGAAAAAAAAAAAAGAATCCCTTGTTCATTGAACAGTTTATTAATAAATTGAATCAAAACTCTCGAAAAAAACAGGGTCTCTCCTTCTAAATGTACCCAGCGAAGAGTATCAGGTTATGCAAAGAGGAAAATGGAAACGAATGCATGCCTAAACCCAGAAAGTTAAATTCCCGTTCTATTAGGATCTACACCATTAAAGACTGAAATCCCGATGGACTGACACACTTCGGCTCAACCTACTCTCAAACCATAACCACAGAGACCAAGGATGAGAATTGACTATGGTTTATTGGCTACAAACAGATAATGGATAGGGCCAGTTGGCTGCACTCAGGTCAGTCCAATACGATCTAATTAAAGGTTAGTTCAGGCCCAACATAGCTTGGGCAGAGCTTGTCAGCCAAGAGTGATAGAAATAACAGCGGATTGTACTCAAACCAAAGCTGAGGACCATCTGCTAGTTCTGGGTGCCAAGGGCGTACTCATTGAACTCTTGGGTCATTATTGATGATGAAGACGGCTGACCAATTTCATGGGTCTCTCCAGCTGCAGAATCTGCAGCCCAATGATATGTGTGAGCTCCTTGGGTCAATAAAAAAAAAAAAATTGTATAAAGAACAACGAATGCAGGAGCAACACGATTTATTAATAACCGTGAACAGCATAAGGAATTTCTGACCAAGCTGATGATGGTTTCCTCTAAAAACCTAATATAGTGTGATTCAAACATAGCCAGTGGTATACTAAGACTTAGAATACGTGCTTTAGAGATAACATCATGTTACCTAGTTTACTGATGTGTCACAGGAAAAATAACATTACTTACGGTGGGGGGATTCATTTTCCCACGCTAAGGAAAACACTCAAGAAACAAAAATTTCTCAAGCTTAAGCCCGGATTATCATGCACTAAAATGGCGAGCAGCTTCCATGAGGTTAGCGTTCTTTTCCTTGGGAAGTCGACCAGCACTTTTCTGAATTCAGCCATGGCAGGCATTTAATTCAAAGTAAATGCCTACTTCCACGTCTAAAATTTGGCAAAAAATGATAAATGGGATACCAATTGACCATAGGAGCAACTTAGAGGATTTTTCTTCCTCCGGATTCCTACTTACGGCTAAAGGTAGGATTCAATTGGATGTTCGACGCCATTCTCATTCCGAAATTTATCAAAATCCTGCGAATCAGGACTATTTCCTTTTCATTCTTTTCAGAGAGAAAATCATAGATACAAATACAAGCCTTTGTAAACCTCCTCTCATCCATGGAAATAACAACGGTTTGTTACTGGTGACGAACTGAAATTATCTTTGTTTATTTGTCAAAGTTCTTATCAGAATAGGGGGTTTACGTTTATGGAGGGTTAAATTTTCTTTCCCTGAATTTTTTCAGAGAAATAACTAAAATTACCTCTCAAATTTAAGTGAATTATTAGCCAAAAGGCAAACGGGAACTAAACAAGTTTCAGAGAAATGTAATAACCAGGTAAATGGAGAAAGGAAATGCAAGTGTCTAAGGATATTTTATATTCGACGAGAATGGTGAAGGGAAAGATAGAGTAGAGGTGAAGGTTATAGTCGCATACTACAGAAGACAACATCTCCATGAGCACGGATATAGCTGGACTGGGATATGCATTTCCAAGAGAAAGAGAGAGGGAGAGAGAGAGAGAGAGAGAGAGAGAGAGAGAGAGAGAGAGAGAGAGAGAGAGAGAGAGAGAGAGAAAAATCTTACCATTTTTGGAGCAGTCGGAACCCTCTCTAGACGATTGCTTTCCCAGTCTATACTTCTGAAAGAGAAAGAAAAGCAGTGTTTGAATTTGGGCACAACCAAAAAATATAGTTTACAAGGAGCATTCAGATAACACAATACTTGCCACAGAGAAGTATACATATTTTCAGGACAAGTTTTATCTATAAAAAGTCCTAGCACATCTTCCATGTAACTATTGTAGAAGAAAATTTAAGAGACAGACCTGCAGATGGCTTTTCAGATGATAGAGTGTGAGTCCTTTTACTGCCATTGTTCTCATTATCATCTTTGGAGTGGCCTCTGAGATAAAAGGATAAAGTAACATAATAAACTTGAAATTCTAATGAGTAAAAAAAACAGAAATAAGAATAAATAAATATATACAATGCAGATTGCTGTCCCAAAAATGAGAACATAGGCCCCATACTACGATAAAATAGTGCCAAAGAATTCGTAAAACTCCATAATATGATATTTATTAATAATTATATTGAGATAATAAATAAGAATGGATGATGATCCAATATGATGCCTGTAGAACGAGAATCTTTCACCATGAGAGCAAAATGAACTGCGTTAAGTTAGCGCTCAATATAACTGACCTGGTAAATTATGACATGAAAAAATAATGGAACCCGCATGATATTACATTTGGTTTAATAATTTAGCCAGCTCTTCCTCAGCTGAGAGGTCAACTGGATTCCTACATTTTATAATGGCTCGTCTTCTGATGGACAAGGTAACAACCCCGTCTGGAAGGAAGAGCTACTGGAGAAACATAAAATTGCCTCCTACTATTACTTTTAAAAAATGAATTCAAGAAAATAGCACTAAAACCCAGGGGAAAAAGCTTGAAAGCTCGTAGAAAAAGTCTTAGAGAGATAATTTCATTCTTTTTCCCAGTTTTTAAGTGCACGTATTAGCGTCTACATTTACGTTTCAATCATCCCATGGAAGAAAACAAGGTCAGACATCTAGGTTTTTCTGAGGATATATAAAAAAAAACTGGATGAGATCTCACTACAACCCCACCCCATTAAGCCATGCGAGCACAGTTGACATAAAAAATCGATCATCAAGGCAGAAGAGCCCTATGATGATACCGTGATCAGGAAACCATACAGAATTTTCCATCACGAGGTCAAAAATTCTCACTCTAGGAGCGAAGTGCCTTCCAGAGAGCATTACGAGAAGAGATTCTCATTGAAACAAAAAACGCTAATTCAGGAGGGTGCAGAGAACAATTTGACAGCCGAAGAGAAATAGGAAAGGAAGAAGCGCTCACTCTCCGGGCCTCCAAGTTGGTTGACGGCGTCGACGAAGCGCTCATGAAGCTCCGCCGTCCACCGCAGCCGAGGCTTAGGGTCTGTGGTGAGAACGAGACAGGCGTCTACCGACGGCCTCGAGTACATCCTTCGCTCCCTCCCCGAGCAGTACGTCCCGGACAATTGCCGGAGCCACGATCCTCCACTCTACTAACTACCCAACAGAAGAATCTGCAACATCAGAGAAGGAGCCAGAATGAGCGAGGACCAACCGATCAGCGCCCTTGGACGCCATACACCTCCCATCATAGCAGCGGTACCTGCTCCAAAACAGAAATCGACAGCGGGAGAGGACTGCGAAGAGGAGGACCAAGAAGAGCGACGTTCGGCGGGTTAGGTGGCGTCTGTACACGGCGCCGTTGTGGTGAGGAGGCCAACCAGGCAGAAGCAGCAGCGGCAGCAGCAGAAGAAGAAGAAGAAGAAGAAGAAGAAGAAGAAGACGACGAAGAAGAAGAGGAAGTCTCCCAGCGCCGCATCGCCATTAAAATTTTCTCCACCTCGCTGGACGAAACGCGAGTGTTGCGGGAGACGATCACGTGAAGAACAGTTGACGGAAACTATTACTCATAGATCCCTAATGAGAGGGTTTATTGTTTCTAATCCATTATTAACTAATATTGCTTTCCAGTTCTCTTAAGCCAGTGAGCACCCCACAGCATATATATTTTTAATTGAACCCTTCTTAAGCTGTGAATTACCTCGTATATTCATCAATTTACATTTATATAATTCTTATAAGAATAAAAGCATCGTAAATTTCTTTTATATCCCCACTTGTCTCGTTCTGCACAGTACAATACAAATGAAAATATATAGTCTTCTCACTAAACTTCCGCAGAGGATATAAGTATAAATAATGTGATAAATGAGCTCCTTAAAAATGTACCTGCTCCACCACTTCTCCCTCTCTCTCTCTCTGTCCTGGGATTGTGTTCATGATGGGGGTACATTGGCGATAATTCTCAGATAGAGAGAGTATTTGTGCAATTTTAATTTGTGGTGGCGAGGGTACACGAATATATAAAGGTTTTCATATATATGCATAAGAATGAGTATCATTATGATTAATTAATGAGAGTGCTGCCTTGCGGAGAAGAAACACAGCCATCACGTAACAACCAATGATTGGCTGGTGGTGATGGCGACCCAGCCTCCCCTTCAATCTCTCTCTCTCTACCCGCTCTATTGTTTTTCTCTCTCTCTCTCTCTACTCTCTGTACCCGCTCTATTATCTCTCTCTCTCTCATATATCTTGGGCCGTGATTTAAAGATAACCTTGGTTAAAGAGCCCCGGTCCTAGAGACAGACAAGCCCGAAAAATGGCCTCCTGACCGGCTCGGCTCCTAACAAGGTCATTTACTATTCATGAGAGAGAGAGAGAGAGAAGAGGAGAAGAGTCCAGCAATTTACGGGCTTTGAGCTGAGTTCCCACCAAAAAGCCCGGGCCCATTTACACTTTACGGGCTTGGCCGGCCCGGCTCAATCTAGGGAAAGCATTCAAATACGGTTCAATTAGAGAATAAAAATGTAACCTTTAATGGGCCTTAGAGAGCAAAATAAAAAATAAAAAAAATAAAAATGTAAAAAAGCAGACGAATGGTATCTGGGTATTCTTCCCCGTTTTAGGGTTCTAATCAAAATCACAGTGAGCAGCAGTTCATATCCCAAACCGGAAATATACATTTAAATGAGGGATGGGAGAAAAAAAAAAAAGAGAAGGGGAAAATCAAGCAATAAAGCCCACCCTGCCCTCTTCAAGAACATCCATCCCACAGGGATTCATTTCCCGAATAATCAAACGGGATGCAATCACAATTATTACAGCAGCGATCATCAATAATCCCTAAACTCGGCATCGAATGATCAGTGATCGAACCTGTTTCCTGCAGCCTCAGGAGGCAAAGAATGAGACCCCAACATCGTCATCATCATCGTGCTCCCTCTATAGTTTCCATAGACAGGAAGAAGGGTAGAGAAAGAGAGAGAGAGAGAGAGAGAGAGAGAGAGAGAGAGGGGGGGGGGATCATGAAGGCTCTGTGGCCGGTTCAGTGGGTTCTGCCGCTGATGGTTTGCTTGATGCAGAGGTGGGTTTGCTGTCCTCCGGTGAGCCGCCATGGCGGAAGCTGAAGATACCGGCAAGACTGCGGCCTTTGGCAAGCTTCTCGATCTCAGAGAGCCTTTCACGGAGAAGCTCAACCTCTCTCGCCAATTCCTCGTCTCTTTGTTTCAATGCCTGGGCAAAAACGAAGCTATCGGCGATAAGAACAACAACTATTTGATATTGGGAGAAAAACTTTTGCATGATTTTGGCCCGACTAATGTATAAGATCTAAATCTTTCCCCCTCCAATTTTAGCATCTCAGGCAGAAATTTTGATACTAGAAGCATCAATTTTCTTATGAAATTGTCTCGAGAAATCAATAAACTAGGAAAAATAAGGGAAAATCCTCACTCTAAATTGTCCGAAATGACTCGGTTTTTGCCATATCAAGTAAAATAATAAAAAGCATTGGACGTTTCTCAACGAGGATGTTTCCAAAATAAGTAGAGTGATGAACCACATGTCTGCAATGTTGGCAGTTCCTGGAGAAAACGTTCTCTCTCCGAAGATCACTGGGGAGGAAGCAAGCAGCAATTCAGAATATGGATTCAAGCCGGTTTCAGGAAGAGAGTGTAGGAGGAGAGGTTGACTAAACGGTGATCTGGGTGATGAAAACCTAGAAGGGTTCATCGGAGTTGACCTAGTGATTGAACTGAGAGTTTGACTTGACGAGGGCAGAAGAATCTCATCAAGGAACACCACACCACACCAAAAGAAGGAAATCAGAGTTCATTTATTTCTTGACGAACTTCAACAAGGCAAGATGTGTAACACCCAGATGGCATTCAAGAACGAGCGCCACTGCAGGGGAAAAGATCACAAAAAGAATGAAATCTCAATGGGAAGTTCATACGCCTACTGAAGCAAATGAAGACAATTGTACTCAGTTTCACCGGATGTGCCAACAACCAAGTATGCAAGCATAAAAATCACAAAGATCGAATGAAGGAAGACTGACTGTAAGGGTTGGAAGATCTGGGTGGAACCAAAAAGGAAGGTTTTCGGGACACACACACGAGCGGCTTGGGTGATTATAGTATGGTCTCAGTTCTTCTGCAGATCTCCTGTGGGGTTTTGAACCATGTTACATAGGTTGGGAGAACTCTGTAGGGAGAGTGGGAGTTCTGCGCCATACAGATTAGCGGGTTCACATATCTGAGTAGCCACTTACCAACACTGTTGAGATGATGAGTTCTAGAAGGGCAGCTCACATGATCTTGGATAGGGTGAGGAAGAGAGCAGCAGAAAACCAGCAGTCTAACAAAAATGAGCTCAGTACAAGACGGAGGATTAGGAATGGAGATATCATCCAGGAAATAAACACAGCAAATACCCTGACAACTGCAGGTTTGACTTTGTGAGGATAAACCGGATATCTGAATTTAATGCACAACACGGCATCAAACATTGGCCCTGTAAATAGCGATAGTTTTCATGGTTGCAAAACAAAAATGGAAACATGTCGCATAAATCCAAACTGAGTTCGATAATCCAAATATCTATCACTCTTTATCTCTCTTGGTTCTCCAGGGATCAGACAAAAGCATCTGACAATGAGCTGAATAACCCAATAGCCTCCCCTAATTCCAACTACCAGACACTCGTCGCTGACATTTTTGTCATACTTATTACCAAGTACTCTTACTGCTCTTTTTTTTTTTTGCAAGATCAGAGCATCATTTATGATTAAAGATTGAATGTGCTATTTGTTTGACTTTCTCCTGGAAATTATTGGACTGAAAGCAGTTCAAACTTTTGATTCTCTACGGCTAATGGTGATGTTGAAAGGATGGAACTAAATCTATCACAGGACTTCAACATAAAACTCCAAGAAAAAATAATGAATGTCAATTACTGATTTAAGCCTGGTTACAAAATGATGCCAAAAAGAAATTTGAACTACTAATTCAATCTTCAAAGAAAATGAAGTAAATCAGCTCTATTGTTTCGTAAATTACATCTAATTCCTGCCTGCGCATTTCCTCCTTTCTAGCCTCTGATCTCGCACTTCTTTGCACCTCAAAAATTACAGCTCCTCCAGCAACCTAATAAGTAAAATAACCACGTAAAATGAGACTAGGGTCAGATAATTTAAATTAATAAGCATGATATCAAATTTCAGCATTAAGAAGTAGAACATTGCAACTTTAGTCGGCCGCAGATTATGTAGAAAGGTTCATGGACCCTATAATGTTCAAATGAGAAACAAAGCAACCGATATTTCATTGAATCAAAAGGCAGAATGCATGCATGGGCTTATATCTGCCATCCCAGGTATAAATTGATGTATCCATTGAATCTGTCCTTATCTAGATGAGACGTCTCATGGAAAAATGGAATTTGCAGTGTAATGACATAAATCTTTGGATCGATACGAAAGTATATTTGAATCCTGATTCCAGCATGCATTAAGAGCGTATGAATGGCTAAATCTAGAGAACTCAGATCACCAGAAAGACGAAGATTTCTCCAATAAGATCTGTAGCAGCCTGAACAGCTTTTTCCTCGTTCAGAGGCCGAATTTCAACGTCTGTTGAATGCCCATATAGTCGTCTTTGCATATTCGTGCTGATCCGATGGTTTGCCTGAATTGAGAAAGGCAAAAGACGAGAGCAGTGATTAGAAACGCTATGGTGATTTTTTTTTGACACAGATTATGCAATAGAATGCAAAACTTACTTATTTCAACATCCATACAAAAGCATACAGCAGCAATCAATATAACCACTAAGAATAAAGTATGAAAATAGAACTTTAGACATTATCCCAAAACCAAGAAAACAAAAGAGAAGGCATGGTGTATAGCTCGCAATCCCAAATCGTATACTGCAAGTTCCATGGGAAAGAAGGAAATCTAGTGTAATAATTAAAGGGATCAAACAAGGCAGCACAATAGTTTCCAAGACTGGAACGTCAACAAAATAACAAGATTCCGCGCAAGTCCATGCGAAAACATTTAATGAAAGAGAGCCCATAAAATGATTCTTCGTCCAGCAATAATCATCCAAGAGTTGCATCTCAAAAACCAAAAAAATTAGAAGATATACTGTTTGAAACATATAGTATCTTGAAGGAATACTTTATTATTGGTGCAAGCGAGAAACAATGTTGAGTTAAAAAAATTAAATCTATTGAAATATCTTTACTTCTTCTAAAAAATTATACTAATTGATGCCAAAGCAGCTAAAGAGAAATATCATTTCCTCATATTGAGGGTGCACACTTATTTCTCGAGTGGTATGCTCATTAAGTACACTCAATTTCTGACTTCCCCTAAGAGTATTGAAGGCAACTATTAGAATGATGTCAAGCGTGACTGATGATGATTCTCACTATAGAAGGATATGACCACTAATTTTTTGTTGATAAACAAAGTACCGCAACCACAGCTTGACCGAAAAAAAAGATTATCATTTATGTAAACTTAACATTTGATAGATACACAGAGAGGGACGTAGAGTACGTCCCAAGTTTAGGAAAAACACTGAAGAATCCTGCACAGAGCCGGGATAGTGGAGTTAGTAAGTAAATTCAAGCTGACTCATTTTAGTCCACGGGCTAACTATATCTATTGAAGGAACCCAATCTGCTTCACCCAAACTGTAAGGAGCCCGTATAGTCAACCCAAAAGTTTGAATGAACGCCCAGCAGAGATGAGCCGGATTACTTTCAAGATCGGCCAGGTCTTTACCAGGCTTCCTCTTGAATTCCCATCAAGACCACTGTCATTGACTCGCATGAAGAAAAAAACTCAAAATTAAATATTCCCAGAGATAAGAATAAAATGCACTCAACCACAGTCGCACTCAACCACAATTATGACGCGTATCAATATTTTGCTGAAAGATTTATAGCTTGTGCGCGTTTTCGTCACACAGTTGTGTTTCAGAATTCCCTGTTTTGTAGCAGTGAGATATGGGCAAAGGGAAACAGAGGGATCGGAAGGAGCACCTGGGCCATAGAGATGATGAAACTGCGGAACTGCGGATGCCTGCCAGCTTCCATCTTCAGCCTGCTTGCAATGGGCTTGCTGACGGTCTTCATGGCCAGGGCCCCGAGCTTCACCAACGGGAGCACCATGTTCCACCCCCGACCTCAGACGCACCCTCCCTTCGAAAGAAGAATACCGATCCCAGATCTTCTACAAGCCCCAATGGTGCTGCATTAAACACGCCAACCGATCGCCGGCGCAGCAGCGTCGGAAGAAAGGCCCTAAGAGAGCCAGCGCTAGGTTTTCTTGGAGAGCAAGGATGGATTGAATCCCCCCCTCCGAAAAGCCCAGACCGAAGCCAGCCGACGTTGTTTGACCAGCAATTTTTCAGTTCTCCGGTGGTCTCAGCGCGAACCGAAGAGGGAGGATTCCAGCTCGCGTCCCGATGGCGTCATCTTCCGCGTCCTACAGCAGCTATCCTGATGGGCCGGTGGCCGCTGCGTCTCCTGCGGTCAACAAGCAAAGAGGATAAATACCAATAACGACCGATGAAAAGACATTAATGGTAAAGGTTGATTCCGGACTTTTATATCCTTTATCACTAATAAAATAATAAAAGTCCAACGACCGTTTTCAGCGTCGAAGCGTAAGCCACGTGTATAATGACGTGGCGGACATAGCTGGTACGCCTCAAGAAGCAATACGTGTCACGTGCCCCTGTCTCTGGTGACTTGGCGGCCGCCTCTCGTCCCGCCTGAACAAGCCGACAAGGCGCGTCCGCCTGCCACGTATGATGACATGGAGCCCTCTCCTCCCTCTCCTCACCACGTGCAATGATGACGTGGCGAGCGCCGCTGTTTCGCATGAAGAAGCCTAGGGGCCGCTCGGAGTGAGGCGACAAGCAGCGTGGGTCATGGAAAGTTTCCAGAAGATTCGAGATGGAGAAGAACAAGAACTCGCTGCCGAGGACCGGAAGCCGAAGCCGAAGACCACCGACGTCGGCGGCGTCGGTGGCGGAGCAACGGCGGAAGAAGACTGGAAACCGAAGCCGGAGCCCGGTGTCGGCGGCGGCGGTGGCGGATCAACGGCGGCAGAAGGGCGGAGGGAGAAACCGAAGACCGGCGCTGTCGCCGCGGCGGACAGGGGAGATTCGTCGGAGGCGAAGAGGCGGCCCCCGAGGAGGCTGCCCCACCTGGAGGTCCCCCAGCCCGAAGACTTCAACACCGAGGCGCTCGAACACCTCTGATACCCTCTTACTCTCTCTCTCTCTGTCTCCCCTCTTTCCGTTGTAATCTTCACTCACAGTGGGTTCAGATCGCTCAGGACAGATAAATAAATAAATAAATATTATTCAAATTCTGTACTTTTTTGTTAGAAAGATAGTCTTATTTCGGATAATAGTTGGGAGCGTCGGGTCTATACGGGCCCGGACCCATTGCATCAGTTATCTTCGGATGTAGTCCACAGCTTATCCAGAAGCCCACAGGAATCTCTCTCTCTCTCTTCTCTCTACCCCTCTGGGCCTCCTTTGGCGGCCGACTTCGGCGGCCGACTACGGGAAATCGACCACACGCGTGTGACGTGGACGCTAATCCATTAATGAGCTTCTCTCTTAGTTACGAATCTATTTTCAGGGAGTGTGTGCGCTTGGGACACATGAGAGCCTTTCTCATCGACGTGTTATCGCACTGGAAAGGGCCTCGATGCAACACGTTTTTGTTGAAGTCGTCCCCCCCACCCCACCACCCTCTCAAATGGTATACGTAAAGGGGGGGCAGTGAGACTGAAGAGAGAAAGAAGAGAGAGAGAGGAGAGAGAAAGAAGAGAGAGAGAGGAGAGAGAAACAGAGATGAGCACTGGTGTGATCGGGAGAAGCAGCTGCAGAACTAGCGTCCTCAATTCAGAGCTCCACCAAATCCGAGGAGAGAGAGGAGGAGGAGCTCGCCAGGTCTCAGCGTCGGTGAGGATCTGCGGCGTCCGTCCGGGAAATGGATGGGGGAAGCTGAGGGTGGCGGCGCCGCTGTCGTCGTCGTCGTCCTCCTCCTCCTCCGGCCGCTTGTTCGTGTCGTGTGTTAGGGCTCGAGCGGCTGTGGGGGATGGAGTCACGGCGGTGGCGACGGGGAAAAGCTTCTACGAGCTCCTGGGGATACCCCAGGGGGGTAGCGTCGCCGAGATCAAGAGAGCCTACAAGGAGATGGCGCGGAGGTACCATCCCGACGTCTGCCCTAACCCGGACCGCACGGAAGAGTACACGCGGCTCTTCATCGTGGTGCAGGAGGCCTACGAGACGCTTTCGGACCCTGGCCGCCGGGCGCGGTACGACCGCGACCTTGCCCACGGCTTCCACCTCAATTTCTCCGCCCGACGGAGATCGTACCGATACAGTGGCGACGAGGTGAGCGAAATTGTTCATTCTAATGAATGATTAAATTTTTCTGCCCCTCGATCATGATGATTCCGGCCGCGTTCCTGGAGATACCTTTTTAGGATTCCCGACCCTCTGGATTATATGCTGCTCGTTCTGAGGTTAAGAGGAATGTAATTATCGCATTCCATCATGTAGGATTCACTTCCTCATTTTCTGATGTCCGTATCACAGAAACATTAGAATTAACAGCTTGTTCATAATTGGTGCTATGATCAGATGAACACGTCGGGAAGCTTCAGAATTACCAATATCCACACATGTCTGCGTTGGAAATGCCTGTTGAACAATACTTCCATGTGTAATTTTTATTGCTACTTTCTTAGATAATCGAAGAACAACTTGCTTGTCAGCGATTTCATCTTTAAGAATTTTCTGTCTGAAACTTGTCCGGCAACGGATGCTAAATCTCTGTCATACAAACGATGGAGAGTGTCCTTTGTTTCTTGCGTGCTTTCATCTTCTCAGAGCTTTTGCGTGATCTTAGGCTTTTCTAATAATGCCTATCACTTTTGCGTGATCTTTGCGTGATCTCCAGGGTTTTTCTGAGGTTCCTTCTATAGACATATAATGGGTGGTGTGTTAGTTTTCTTCACAAAGCTGCGTTCCTTGGTGAACTTATTAATTCTCTCACTTCTTACTTCTTTCTTGGTAAAACTGAGAAGCATATTCCACTGTCTTCTCAACCAGATTGAATTTGGTAGCTTTCACTTCACCAATGGCCCTTTTTCTCAGTTTGTTCATGAGAAATGTCTCGAACGATTAGAATGCAATCTATTTTTTGTTCCCTTTATTATGAGAAAAATAGCAATGGGAAACTTCATGTTGGTGAACCTGATGATTTGTTCTTTTGAATTGTTATAAATTTTACAGTAAGATTAGGAATTTTGAATTGTTTCTACGTCTAAACGTGATCTTACTCTCAATTTTGTCTTCAATGGATGGAAAAACTTGTCAAGATCCTCTGCCTGGGTTTGTTCTTGCGCATTTTAACATTTCGAAGAATTCGTCTCTTCTCATATGATTATGTTGACCAGTTCTCTGATACCATCCTGGTTACTATCTTCGGTCATTCCTCAGGTACTCTCTCCGTGCAAGTTCATCCTAGAACTTCCATTTTAGTGACATGGGCAAATAGCATCCTGTGTCTTGTTTGCTGTATGTAGGTCAACCTACATCTTCATCCTGCTTCATAGTTTCAACAATTGAAACAAACCATCATCCCCAATTCTCAAGACTTCGAAGCAACCATAGAAAAGCCATAAATCTGTTTATCACTCAAAAAAAAATTCAAAAATATTTATTGACGTCTAGCACTCATTAATGACGTAATTCCTTCAGTTTTCTTTCCTCTTAAAGAATTTATTTTTTTTCCTTCTCTCCAAACAGGTAATGGAAGAAAAATCGCAGTGGAGGAACCAGTGGCAGGATCAGCTTGAAGGGCTGAAGAGGAGGAGCATGAGCAGGCACCCTCGGAAAGATTTCTCCTGGGGAGCTCGAATGCGGAGACAACAGCAAGAGCCGCCTTCAGAATAAGAATCCCCGGTCAGTGGTCGATGCCTACCTCATATTCTACTCCTCCACGTCTGATATAACCACACCCGCTCGCCCACACTGAAACCGTAAATCTGAGATGGAATCAGTAATCCTTGCCTTAAATAGCATGTTTTCTCAGGTGAGCCTTCAGATGCCTTTTTTTCCCACACCTGGAGTAGCGTACAAGCTGTACACTGAGCTCTGGGGCGATTCTTTCTGATGTAGATGTCCTGTATCCCTATAGTTTTCTCTGTTAATATATTTCCCTTCTCATATCCCCCCTCTCTCTTGATCTTACTCTTTTTTGTAGAGAGAGAGAGAGAGAAATAGAGAGATAGAGAGAGATGATGATGAAAATGGAAGTGAATTCCTGCCTATACCCACAGAGTTACATTCTTGTTCGATCAGGATTTACCCATTAAAGACCCACTCTCAAACCATAATAACCACAAACCAAGGATGAGAGTTGACTTTATTGGCTATCTAGGGATTATTTTTTTTTTCTAGAGAGAGAGAGAGAGATGATGAAAATGGAAATGAATTCATGCCTAAACCCACAAAGTTACATTCTTGTTCGATTAGGATTTACCCATTAAAGACCCACTCTCAAACCAAACCATAAATAACCCCAGACCAAGAATAAGAGTTGACTTTATTGGCTGCCAAGGGATTACTCTTTTGTGTAGAGAGAGAGAGAGAGAGAGAGAGATGATGATGATGAAAATGGAAATGAATTCATGCCTAAACCCGCAAACTTGCATTCTCGTTCGATTGGGATTTACCCATTAAACACCCATTCTCAAACCAAACCATAAATAACCACAGACCAACGATGAGCGTTGACTTTTCGTTTTATGGGCAACCACCGGATCATTGATTGGGCTACACGGTTGCATCAAGGTCAGTCAAGTGCGACCTAATTAAAAGGTTGGTTCGAGCCAAGGCTGATAGAATAATGACCCTTGGTGGGGTCATTATTGATGATAACGACGATGACGAGCGCTGACCACTTTTCATGTCCTAATTATGTAAGTTGAATTTTTTGGGTCGAGAAAATATTGAGCATTAAATTTTCCGGTAAATAATAACCCTCGGAGAGGCCAAGATGAAGATTACCCAAAATAATAATAATATATATAAATGCTTACAATTAAAATAATTATCAAACTTATATAAAACTGTGAAAAAAATGAAGGATTTTTGTATAATATGGTCAAGATAAAGTCGGAGAGTAATAGGCGAGGAGTTATGATTCCACCCCCCAGAAAATCGGATTTTGAACGCTAAGAATAGGGGTAATTATATTATATTATATTTAATCTGAATAGCCTCCACTTTTCACTTATCTATCTGTCCGTCTGTCTGTCTCTCCCTCGCGAGAAGGTACATTTTGTCAATGACCATCTGGCTGCAGAAGTCACGTGTTCAAAATGGATGTATAGAGTCTTTAGGTCGTTTTACAATTATTTTAGGTTTTAGGAGTTTATTGGGAAAGTTACCCCCACGAGGGCAGAAAATAATAGCTCGGGCATCCATCCTTCTAGCCCACACATCATCAGAGACTCCCCCCCTCTCTCTCTTCGCCGCTTGACAAGAGCACTAGCAGGGACGGGAGGCTCTCTCCCCTCTCTCTCTCTCTCTCTCTCTCTCTCTCTCTCTCTCTGGGCATCTCGCGCTGGTTCTCGCTTGGTCACTTGTGGTAGCAGAGGAGACGCAAATGATCGTCGTGGATTGAGAGAAGGCGGAGGAATATTGAGGGAGAGAGGGAGAGAGGGAGTTGGTAATTGACATATCTGCTGGCAGTTGCTATTTTTCCTATCCCCCTTCTGCGGCGGTCTCGGCCTCCCCCTAGCCTCCGGCGGAGCAGGAAATTGGGAGCTGGTCCGCTTTGAAGTGGAGGATCTTCCGTCCCAATTCCTTTCTCTCTCCGGATATCCCCCCTTTCTCTCTTCCCCGCGGACTTTTCAACTCCCCCTCTTCCATCACTTCCTCTGCTGGAAGTTCCCTCTATTTGCTAGAGCAGGGTTCTGATTTGGGTTTCTGGTCGTTCATCAAGGGTCTCCTACCGCCTCTCCGCTTGCTGCCTGGTTGAGTCTCGGCCGTGGCAGTGTCCGATCTGCAACGGCGGGCGACGGGGCCGCTTCTAGGGTTTGCGATCGGTAATCTCGGACGGACTTTTTGTGACATGATGATGAGACTCACTCTTGATGAGGCCTTTTTGGCATCGCACGATTATGGCCGGTGCTGAAGTGGATCTGTTCTTTGGATGCGGCGTTGGGTTTTGCTATTAAGGCATCCTTCCCTGCCGAGAACGGTGTTGGAGTAATCTGTTTTTGGCGGAGAGATGGTAGCATCACCCCTGTCCTGGCCATGGAAGAGGACTGTACCTTAAAAATACATGGAGGATTCGTTGAAATTCTACTGGAGCTGCTTTTTTCCTGCGGTCTGGAGTGATCGCGTTTATTGAAAGGCATCTGTGTGCCATCACGTTGAAGAAGGATACTGAGATTATTACCGTCATCTTGAGAGGCCAAGTAGATTTGCAGATAGAACTACTCTATTGAATTCATACGGTGTAGGTTTTTGAGTAGGTGCAGATTTTTCGAGTTTTTCTTGACTTAGACGGCTCCAGTGTTCAGCTTTTGAATTGGGTTCGGGCATTGGTTTCATTGCTTAACAAATGAAGCTTATTTTTATGTGAGAACTCTACTTTCTCTCAAGACTCGGCGCTTTCAGACGGAAATGGATCAATTTTGACGCCTGAAATGAGTTAAGGACATGGTGTATGGACAGGGCCGTGTTTATGGGTCCGTTCCTTTATTGGAACAGCTATTCTGGAAATTAGCGTCCACTGCCAATCTGATTGTAGCTTGCGATGTCTCGCTGCTTTCCATTTCCTCCACCAGGATATGAAAAGAAGCCTCAGAGCAACAACTTAGATCTACTCCTAAAGGTTTGTTCGCTCATATATTTCCCATTGGTCATCGTGGCGAGTTTTAAATTTTTGGTTGATCTTGTTTTGTCTGCAACCTATCTGTCATGAATGGCCGCCTCATCTGCGTACGGGCTTCATCTGCTAGTTATGGCATCATTTCAGAGTCAAGGTCGTCTGTAACTATGGAACTATATTTATCGTTTTGAGATCTTTAATAAATCTTTCGCGGGGAACGGAACTTTATGAGAGGGAATGTGCTGACCTTTGCGGAAAATAAAGTATCTCATTTGGTTCCTGTTACAGTCGCCGTCAAGAAATGGGTCCAAAATGTATGCTTTTTATAGATTTGGTTCCTGGAGAAGTATCTTATCAACTAGAATGTCTCCATTGTAGGGTCGTATCTTCTATGTTTTAAGCCCTTGTGAGCTAAATAAGCTTCATTTATTTGGATGCTAAATTTGAGAAATGAAGCTAAATAAGTCAATTATGCAAACAAGATCAAGTGGAAAAATGTGACCCAGCAAGCGACTTGAAAAGAGCCATTAAAGGTGGTCTAAAAGCGCAGAAATTTAAAAATTACGTTCGTCACTCCATAAAACTATTTGAGACCTGAATTAATCGTTTCAGATGTGGGACTTGAAAGATTCCTTTTTTCTTCACTTCCTTACATTATATTGAGATGCCTGAATTTTGACTAGGAGTTTAATGCCTGGTTTAAGATTAACTAGTTATCCTTTCCCACTAATTCCTTATGGGAAATGTATGGTACCCTAAACCTCCTGTCATTTAGGTGCGAAGGAAATTTTTTGGCATAGTTTCCCCCAGAATAGCAGTCTGACGCAGTAATGTGTTTCGACCTTGTTAACCTTATGGCTCTTACGATTTTCTGATAACTTCCAAGTCTTATTGACTCGTTCTACCTTTCAACATCATCTACCTTTCAACTCTCAGATATGTGTATAATTTTGAAGCTTTCTTTAAGCTTTCGAGGATTTGGAGTCTTCTTGAAAGTTGCCTACGAGTTGTATGCCATCTATATGAAGTGCGAAACATTCTTACCTGCCAAATTCTTGGAACTATCAAGTGCCTGCTTCAATGGCTAAGCAACAAGACGAGGATGGTGTGCTTCTATTGTTGGTTATCTTATCGATGTTTAAATCACAAGTTTAGGTAAATCTAAGAAAATTCGTGGATTCGACAGTACTGCTGAGTTTCTTGGACTGGTGTAATGTAACACCTTGTCCAATTGCACCCTTTATTGGAAATATTTCTGCCACCAGCTGTGTAATGGTGGTTAACTTCACGAGATTCGTTCACTCATCAAAATAGGTCACTTTCATGTCATTTGCTTGATTGCTTTGAGCCTCCTTAGGTCCCATTGTTTGTCCCATTTTCATATCTAGTGTAGTAATGAACAGTCTTGTCCTGTCAGATGTTTCGCCAATCCTGTTGTTATCTCGTATGCAACAACAGTGGTGCGTGCATGTGTATGCTATGGGCCGTTTCAATATTCCTGTTGGCATTGCATATGCAGTCAGTTTATCTATCTTGAATTTTATTTTGACATCATCACTTCCAAGAGCTGCCTACTGTGTACTTTGGGCCTTGAATGTATCATATTTTCTTGTCCCCCCCCCCCCTTTCCTTTTCTGAATGCCAAGTACCTGCATAAGGTGATCCTTTCGCTTTATTAAGGCTGCATGTGAATCTGGAATTTAAATTTCACGGCTTTTATTTAGTTTACTCAACTCATGTATATGTTCAATTGTTTTAAGGGCGTTTAAGCTGATTCTGTATTGTCATTGTGGCAGTGATCTCAACTGATTTTGTGCGTGGATACCTCTACCACTATCCTTGTGACATTAGGGTTCTTAAATGATCTTGTGATGTGACATTATCTAATGTGGTAGTTTGTGTTCAATATCATCCAGAAGGCCTCCACTAATAGACTAAATGATTACTAAGAAGTAGTCACAGACCAGTGAGCCATGAAACTTTGAGTTTGAGATAAAAGCAAAAGATATGCAGATATTTAGGATCTAGTAAGCTAGCAGGAACATGGAAGCTAACCTTTGAGGGGAGGATCAAAGGGACGACGAAGTTAAGGAGAAGCTAATGTCAATGACCTAGATAGTGCGTATTTCTAGTCTTGAGTAATCGATTAGTGGAGAATTCCTTCCATTTGTCTCCATCACCATAGAATTAATGGGTCAATTTGTAATGTTACTGGAGTATTCTTTTCATTATCCCCACTGTCATTTTATTCCTGTGTTTTCAAGATTGTTAACAACTTATAGAACAGAAGGATTCACTACTGCATGCTTGTTGCTATTTGGATCTATCTTTCAATTATTGTTTGTGAGAGACATTCATAATCGTGTCAATTATCGACCTTTAATTCCTCAAAAAATACTTGGATTGTGTTGTCCTGCATACTAGGAATACATGCATCAACTGTGGCAATTTTTCTGTTTTGACTTGAATAACTACGTGCTAAGTTTTCCTTGAATGAGAGAGCTGACTTTTGGAGCATTGATTCTGTAGCCCCATTGCGTTGCCAGAATGTTCAAGGGTTTATGTTTTGAGAAGAGTAAATGTGTTCACTTATTCAATGGTTGTTAGCTTTTGGATTTACCTTTCTTTCCCCTTTCACAAGACTTGTGAGAATCCGGACAGTTTTCATGCAATCAGGGATTGCCATAAGTTTCAAAGATTTATTTTCTCAACCAGTTAGAAGTGCTGTTATGCATATCAGAACCTTCTATGGCTTTGACCCTTGTTACTGTCAAATGCTTTTAGCTGATCCTTGTTTACCGTCATCATTTCTTACGGAAAAATTTGATCCAGAGTTATTGATAAGATTGTATCAAGTCTTGCATCATATTTGGTCTAACAAAGACTACCTATGTGGACTTTTCTGAATCCTCGTCGTAGATTTTCTCATCTAAATTGAATCATTGAAAGCATGTACGACCAGAGCATTCCAATCTGAACCTTGAGTTCCAGCATCACACGGTATCCATATCGTGGGTTAGTTGCCCATAGTCCTTGATGAAGTGATGGTTGTGTTCTAACAAGCACATGACAGAAATGATCTTTTCCGCATCGGCATTTACTCTTACTACTTGTAGATGTGCAAATGTTCTTTTGTTTGTAGATGGATAGCGTCTGATGATTTTCTTCTCACTGTTTAATTATCTAGGATAATTTTTTAACCTCATATATACATGGCAGCTCCAAATATCTATGATTATTTTCATGTTTTACTAATGTGGTCAGGATGATTATAATGCCTACACTTGTCCTCTATGTTTCATGAAATTTGATGGCTCAAATCTACGAAAACTCTAGGAATAGAGAAAAATGTTGGTTCATGTCACCGTGGATACTGATGTTTCTCCTTTTTTCTGATTTCATATGGTTTTCTGTAAGCCCCAGCTTCGCAATCTTACGTTTCCTTAATTTCTTTATTTTACTTCTCAAATTGCTTCCCAGTCTTTGCTTAAAAAAAATCCATTTTAAGAAAGCTGGTCTTATAGGTGATGTTCTGCCAGACACTTCTGCCAGCTTTTATATCATCTTTGATGATGTTCTTTGCTCCATGAGTAAACAGCTGCTTGCAGAGGATCTTGAACATGAACACCCCACAACGAATTCCGCAGCTTGTCTAATTCTTTTTTTTTTTTTTTGAATTATTTGGGTGGCATCTGTCCCATTGTGGACGGAAGTTGAAGCCTTTGATGTTCTATCTTTTCTACTAATGTTTCTTACCCTTGATGCACTGTGATGTTTTTTTTTTTCTTTTTCATGTGATGTGATGATTGGATGCCACGTTGACTTCATACATATTAAGCATGGCGATTTATGTTATGAATATGATAAGCTGCCTCAGGTCTGACAACGTTGACCTAAACTTTCCAGAAGAAGAAGGAGAAGGAGCACAAGAAGGAGAAGAAGGACAGAGAAAAGAAAGAAGGTAGAGAGAGAAAGGAGAGGGACAGGGACAAAGACCGGAGCAAGGACAAGAACAGAGAGAAGAAGGATAAGAAGGAGAAACGCAGGGACAAGGAGAGGAAGAAGGACAAGGACAAGGACGAGAAAGGGGCTCTCTTTGAGAGAAAAGATGAGGACCGTCGCACGGAGGGTCTCCACAAGGCTGAGGAAGAAGGCCCCCTCAAGACTGGGGATCCTAGAGATGCTTCTCCGAAGGTGGAGGGCGTTGCAGGAAAAGGGCAGAGGAAATTGGAAGGCGTGGGCGGCTCCAATGGGATGGAAAGAATCGGTTCAGCTGGTGCGAACCACGAGAGAGCCATCGCCTTCGAGGTGGTCCGAGACCTTGTCAGTGCTGAGGAAAGGAGGGTTGATGGGGCTGGCAGGCCGGGGGGGAAGGGCGGCGGCGCCGCCATTGCCGAGTACAGGAGAGCTGGGCCAGCCAGTGCATTGCCGGAAAGAAGCCTGGGTAGTGAGGCGGCTCAGGACCCTTTTGGTGGTGAGCAGAGAAGATTGGATGGGCCAGGCCAACCGGCGGGGAAGAAGAGCTCCATTGCCACCATTGCCGCCACCACCGCTGCTGCTGCCATCTCAGATGCCCCAGAGCAGAGGAGGGCCATGGATGGTGGGACGGTCCAGAGCATTGCTTCAGACAAGAAGGCAGTCAACGACTCGGACAGGAAGGCCGATGGGAAGAAGAAGACCAGGGAGAAGGAGGCTAGCGAAAGAAAGGGCGACAAAGATAGAGAGAAGAAACACAAGGGGAAGGACAGAACCAGGGACAAGGAGGAGAAGAAGAGGGAGAAGACGAAGGTGGAAGGGAAAAACAAGCGCAGGGAAGAAGATAAGTTAAGAGATGGTGGGAATATGGGCTCCTCCCCTGCAAAGCCCCCTGCTGCCGCCGCCGCCGCCACCGCTGCCGCTGAAAAGAAGAGCCCAGCTGCCAATGGACCTCACAGTAAGAGGGACAGGAACGGTTTCTTATTCCACGGTAAGTCAACGCCCGGATTTTTAGTCTTCCATGGGCGTCCGCAGAATCTATCCATCTTTATGTTGATGCTCCTCGGCTTCGCAATCAATTACAGAAGACGAGGTGCGGCCCCACAAGCTGCCCCGGCCTGATCCTTCCTCCCAGCTCTCCATAGTCAACGGAATCAAGCCAGAATCTGTCCATATCAACTTCAGCAAGCCCATGGTCAACGAGGAACAGCAGCACAAGATCAACGGCACAGTGCCCGTCGTGGCTCCTGTGCCCATTAAGCCGAGGCCCACCACCGCCACTGCCGCCACCACCACCACCACCACCACCACCACTACTGCCGCTGCCGCTGCTGCTGCGGAGGCCCCTGAAAACGGTGAGCCAACCCAGAAACCACCCCACCCGCATGAGATTCAGCTCAGCCGACTGCTGCAATTGCCGAAGCTAGAGGAATGGCTTGAGCCCGATGACCAGGAGTGGCTCCTTGGCAGAGAAGACCTCCGGCAGAAGCCGCCTGAGGCGGTGGCACCCAAGCCTGCTGCCGAGCAGCCTAAGGTCTGGGCCGATGCCTTTCGGGCCGACCCCGATGGTGTCGTGGTCTTGCCTTATGTTGTCCCTTACTGAGGGGGGGCTCCATCTTGCCGGCCAGGTACCTGAGCCTTTATAAAAATTTGTCCATTTTGGAAAGATTTTGCAGGAAGAGAACCGCCAATCGTGGGCTTCGGGCTCGGCCTTGTACAGGAGAAGGAACTCGGCCCGGGGGGAGGAAGGCCTGCTTTCGGGCCCGGAGTTGAGAGGGGGGGGGGGTATTATCACAATTTTGATCTCGTATTATGTAAATCTGTCAATCTCATAACAAGCAATGTATGACAGACAACAGTTTGGGAGGAGTAATGAATGAGAAGGGGGGGAAGGAAGGGGGCACTTCGTTCATGGCCCTCTTTTTTTTATCATTATTTCCACCCTGAGGTTTTCTCCCTCTAATATTTATTTTATTTTATTTTTTCTATCTTGGGAAAATAATTTATCAGTCAGATGATTCTCTTTCTTTAGAAAAAGGGTAAATGCACCCTTTTTTGTAAATTTTATACTAATTATGGGTTAATTATTATTTTTGGAAGTGGCCTATTTTTTGGGGATTAACGGGTTGAATTCGACAATAATAATAATTTTATTCATAAGTTTGTGGGTTTTCATAAAAAGTTCAAAAATATGAAAGTACTACGAGGACCGAAACCTTTATAAATTTATGGGTAGGGTTCTATTGCTAGATGGAAAATTTATCTGGTTTCATTTACAACAAGGGGGGGGGGTTCGTAGAAAAAATTCCCATTTATGGTTTAACTTTCTTCTTAATGGGGCTGAGGAATTGGGGAAGATGGAAGATTATTGGGCCTATTGTGATAATGGGCTCGATTGCGTGGATCTGGAAGAGAGAATAGGATGCGCCCACGGAGTTCATTGTGGGGTAGAAGAAGCCACGTCCCGGTGGGCCCCAATGGGAGGTCCATCATTTATTCTGCGGAGCTGTCCATGGTGGGCGCCAAAGGACTTTGACTTACAGGAATCAGCTCCGTTTGGAGGCGCTGCGTCGAGAGCTTTCTGAGAAATCTCCTAGCGCCTGCCTTGAGGGGCGTTCTGCAATGGCTACCCTCTTCCTCTGGAATCGATTCCAAACACCCCCGACGACAAGGTGCAGAGAGGAGATGATCGAGAGAGAGGACAAAGGAAACTGCGATCGAAGAAGCTACTTTCCAGCAGAGAGAGAGAGAGAGAGAGAGAGAGAGAGAGAGAGAGAGAGAGAGGGGAAGCTGAGTTCGGGCAATCGAATCCAAGATAAGGAGAAAACATCAACAAGCTTGCCGCCGGCTGAAGATCCACATTCCTCTATACTCCATCCAACCCGCATACAACGAGAAAGAGAGAGAGAGAGAGAAGGGGGGATGTTCAAGGGCCGGAGTCTCTGGCGCAGCGGGTGATGGTGAGGCATCCCCTGGAGTAAGGGTTGGCCCTGGGCATGGCGTGGCAGTTGTAGTAGGGGATCCCCGGCCTGTTGCACGGCACCACGTCTGCTCGGAGGAACTCGTAGCTAATGTACCGCCCCCCTCCTCCCGCCACCGCCTGCTGCTGCATCTCCCGCCGCCGCATCGCATCCTCCACCGCGGCGGCGCAGGCGGCGCCGCCCTCCGCCGGCGAGCACGGCGGCGCGCGATCGGCCGCCGGGAAGAGGAGGAAGAGGAGCAGGAGGAGCGAGAAGGAGAAGACGAAGAGGGAAACAGGAAGATGGCCGTCCGTAGAGGGATGCTTCCTCGGCGCCTGCTCCTCCATCGCCGGCGATGGACGACAGCTTCCTCCCTCTCTCTCTAGAGGGTTCCTTCTTCCTCACCCTTGCTATCTGTCTGTGGGTGTCGTCTTTCTCTTTCTCTCTCCTCAATGTGTGTGTACGGCGCTTTGGCGGGCGCTGTGTATGAGCTGAGAAGGGGGGGAGTGCGCGGAAAGGACATTTAAATGCGGGCCCCGTTGTAACCACCGACAAGCGCCCTCTGTCCTCCCTCTGTCATCTCTCTCTCCTCTTAATAATGCCTTCTTTCTATTCCCCCTCTCTATCTCTCCCACTCCCCTTCACCATTCCCCTCCGTCTCCCTCTCTCTCTCTCTCTCTCTCTCCCTCCTACCCTCACTCACACGCACTCGCTCTCTCTCTATCTCTTGGTGTTACGTACCAGCTTATAGGCGGTAGAGAGAGAGAGAGGGGCGGGGGGGCCACGAGCGGCAGGGAGAACAGGGAAGAGCTTCTTTATGGCAGAGTACTGAGACCCAGCGAATGGCGATTGGAAAGAACATCGTGCCAAATGGACGGTCAGGATGCGACCACGGGAATCCAGCCATCGTGAGAAATAAATAAAATTTATCTTTAATAAATCCTGTTGGTTCAGAAACCCGGGCCGGGGCCCATCTCTGATGGTATCTTTGTCAAAAGCAGATATTGCAAAAATAAGTCGGCTCAATTAGAAAAGGCCCATCATGGCTCAGTTTCCAATCTTGGAATGTAGAGGCCCACCAAGGTGGCCCTTTACCGCCCCAAAGCCCAAAAAGTTGGTTCCTTAACTAGTTTCCATACTTTGTCAACGATTGCTAAGAAAAAAGTCAACATGTGGGAAATGTGTAAAGTAATAAATAGAGCCCTTCCTTCATTATCTGAGAATAATGGGAGGCTTATGGAGTCCAAAAGTCAAAGACCCTAGAACATCATTAGGTGATAACTATCTCTCTCTCTATCTCTCTCTCTCTCTCTCTCCCCCTGACCTGTATCTGTATCTGTAGATGAGTCTCTTGCTCTCCTCTAATCATCTAAGCTGAAGACCAAGATGTATTGGGAACCCAATGGTAACAAGGGAAGAGCTTGCGCTGAGCATTGGCAGATTGGCTGCAAGATTAGTGCTGACTGCAGAGATCCTTTTCTACTCCCCCCTCCTTTGTTCTCTCCTCTTAAAATTGACATCTCTTAATCTAGCTATTTTTACTTAAAAGACTCGCTCAAAATTGAATAACCATATGCCAATTATATGATAATGGTATGACAGTAAATTCAATACCATTGGATGCTACACTTTTCATTTTAAAATAATAAGCTTACATTCATAAGAGTTATGAATAACAATATTTATGTTATGCATGCATCTATGTTGCAAAATATGAATAAATATTTTATATCTAATGACTCCAAAGAATTCTTTGTGGATGTTGCATCAATGTCTAGGACACATAAACATTTACATCATTATTAAATTTTATTGGTTAAGATTGGTTAAAGGAATTACTCAATTCAAAATTTGTGATGGATTTTATTGTGAAGTGTCTTAGACAAAAATAAATTAGAAAGAGTTCTACACCCAAGGATATAATCTCAAATAGCAATCCACACCCATGATTTTAAATTATTGCTTACTATCATCTTTCATGGAGAATTAATTGATTGAATTCACACCATTTAAATTACTATTGATTTAATATTAACTGAAAAATTATTTTGAGATATCATGGTAACAAGTCATGTCCATGATTTAGAAATATCTAAATATTTTTATTATAAATTTAAAATAATATTGAGATATCATAAGTCAATGAAGTAATGATGTGATATATTGAAATCAAGATTTAGTATGTCTAGTTAATATGTCGTACTTTATTTGAGGTGATTTGTATTTAACTTGAATGTAAAATAATTGCTTTATTAAGTTATACATTTACGACTTTCTTTCACAATAATGGGATTCTTATCAATTATGCCAAAACTAACTACTTTGGCCACATTTTAAATATTTAGATTTCTAAATAGTTTTATAATTTTAATAGTCAATGAGGGCTAAAAATAAGGAAAAGTTGTGTCTCTATAATATAATGGCAAAAATATTATGATGGAGACAGTCGTTGTATAATAAATCACATAAATTTAAAATTTATAAAACTAGAACATAATAATTTTTAGATATATTAAAAGTATTTCTGAATAAATATATCAATTATAATTCAATAAAAGTTCTAAAAATAATGAAAAATTTTCATTTGTGAAAATTTTTGAGATTTTTTAAGTAATATTTAAGAATTTTCTATAAAGAATAATTTTTTTTTATAAATTTTAGATTAAAAAATAAAAATAAAATATATTTAACATTCGTGAAAAAAGAAAATAAGGTTGTGAACATCAATATGACATCAGCACCTAATGAATATGAATTGAACAAAAATAGAGTTCTACTTGATGCTTTTTACATAAATGATTATAAATGATTTAATTGGTCAAATTAAGATCTATAAAGTCTAGAAGAATTGTAATTGAATGAAGAATATTTTTAAAACTTGACATCACACAAATTATCACTAAATGAAGTGAGAATTAAGTTGAAAGTAAGAAAGGTAGAGTTTTGACTTCATGATAGTGATCATCGGAATTTTATGTGTTCAAAAGGATCATCGAATGATGTCTATGGCCTCAAAGACTCTTTTTAGACATGGATGATTTAGACATTTACTGGATCTTCTTTCGAAGTCTAAAAAATAATGGTGAAAGTTAAAATTAGTTAAAAAATGATAAAATAGAGTTTCAGCATCATGATAATGATGTATTGATAATATGTTTGTGATAAGTCTTCATTATTATGAATTAATAATTAATAAATAATATAGTTTTATCCTTAACTCATATAACTAGACTTATATTTATGTTAAATTATGAAAAATAGTTTTTAGTTGATTAACGTGAACTTTTGACTAATTATGTGATTTTATATAAATTTATATAATTTTTCTAGTCCTATTTTTAAGATAAATAAAAAAAATAGAAAAATAAAGGGACCCGTTGACCAATTGGGCCCACTAGTGGGTCAAAAGCACAGTCAAAGTGGGTCAAAAGCACAGTCAAAGAGAGCCACAAGTAAGGGCTCAAGTGGCTATGGATTGATGGGGGCACGTGTGTGCCACTCCCTTTCTATGTCACTGGTGGGCAGCCGATTGTGAGACAAGTAATGGTTGTACATATGGGAAAAAGGGACACATTATTTTAAAATTTGATATTACTATATATTCGTCCAAAACTTTGGTATACAACCAATGTGTGATTAAACTCTTGTCACACTTTCATTGGAATAATTTTATAAATTTTAATACCTAAAATATCTATTAATTATAACTAAGATATATTATGATGATGTCATTTTATAAAGGCATTAGAATACTTCTTTCAAACTTTCTCTTATGGGCAAGTGGTCTAGCATGGGTTCAAATCCTACTAGAGCCAGAAACTCATATTTTGATCTGATTAAATCGTGACTTTCTTATAGATTGCTAGTGAAGGATTAAGCCATCATAATTGTTCGGTCATCAACAAAAATCTAATCGACACAATTCACAGAGCATTGTTACTAAAATTACTTAATGATTCGTAATAAAAGAATTGTGAATCCATTGAGTAAATAATCTTCAATTGATCGACGACAAGCCGTCGTCGAGAAAACGATGATCCACCAGGACATGAGTCGCCACCTATTGAGAACATATCAGATGCGATGAAGAGCCTCTTCTTACTATGCAGACCTGAGGATAAAATTTCCTAATATAATTAACTAAAAACTCATATTAACTAACTAAAAATCACTTTTCATAATTTAACATAAAAGATCTAGCTTTTCAAAAAGAAGTGTTCTCTACTAGAGTTGGAACTATCTCCTCAAAATATAATGGGCATTATCAATCTGTACGAGAATTGGCTTATTTTGAGTGCTATGACATCACTAGTTATATTCTCTTTTTGGGGTCAAAAGAGGGAAAAAAATAAAGAAATAGAGAATGTAAATCTCTTTCATTGTTCATTAAGCTCAAATCATGGTTTTAACATATAATTAGATATCACTTTACTTGAAAATTTATCTTCCATAATCTATACATTTGTTATTGTGATCATCCATAATCGATGAATGTTTTCTAGTTGTACCAAATAAGAATGGATGACTCTCTTCATTTTATAGATTGGAAAGTTGTTTGTAAATATTTATATTTTTCTATTTTTTCTAATTTGTGTGCCTCTCATAGGTATTGGGCAGGGTAGACTCTCTTAGGAAGAAGATTTTGTCTGCTGGAAAAGAACATGTTGTACTTTGTGCTCTGGTTTGATCAATAATAGCTTAGAATTACACTTTTGAGTGGTTTTAAAGATTTGGCTTATCGTTTTTTGTGGAGTGTGTCATAATGGGAACTTATTGTTTTTTAACCTCTGCATGGTTACCATAAAAGAAAGTCTTCCTTATATAGATTTATTTCGCATTTATGGATGGTAAACTAATGTTTTGTGTTTGGAAAACTCTGTAAAATTTGCACACAAGATACATGTATTATGAAAGCAAATACATTACCTTTTGTCAAGATCTGATTTTGCTTTTAAATGTCATGGATACCATTCTGTCTTGTAACTCTATAATCTTACATTCTATGGTGTAGAATAGTGAATTGGTTTGTTGATGTACAGAGGAATTCAAACCAATATATATCACACCGATAATTCTGATTTATATTTACATAAAAAGGCAGTACAAGACCACATAATAAACAATTATCCAAAAAAGGGGATCTGCAGGTGTATTTTTGATTTGCTCTCAAAAACCTCTGTGTAATATTTCCAAAGTTTACATCAAAGTGGTGAAGACCATGTTTCCGAATCTCTTAAGATTGAGAAATTGAAGACCATGTTACGTAATATGTCAAAATTGAGGAAGGTTGTCTTTGTCCAAAAGTTTCTTGAACGCAACTCACTTTATAATGTAATTGCCAGTTTAT